TGATTCTCTCGTTCTCTTAATTTTTAATGTTGCAGAAGCTAGGTTTTCACTGCGTTCACTTCTTTCTGAAACAGGTAAAAGAATTAATGTCTTTTATTTATTATGTTAATTCTCCTGGTTGACTTCTTGTTTTTTTTTTTTTTTTCCAAATGAATAAAAATATGTTTGATATTTGTCTAGAAAAATATCGTCCTGTTGATCTTCCCTTTGATGGCAACTGGTTTCCAAATCATCCTTGATTGTACTGGGCGTTATTATCACCACGCCAACCTGCAAACTGCAACTCGCTCATCAACTATATATATATATATATATATTTTTATATACGCTGATCAACTACATACATATATATATATATAATGTATGTATGTATGTATTTATGTGTCTAATATGTTGTACGGACAATGATGAAGTGATGCATACATGGCTTACCCGGTCATGTTTTATCATTGCTTAATTTCTTAAATAAATAATTTTCAAAGCTTCTTGCAGGTTGTTATTGCCATTAAGCAGTGTGTAAGTGTATGGTTTTGAATGAATGCTGAGCATCTATTATTCAGAAACTGTGCTTTATGATATTAATATTTTGTTTGGAATCAAAACATTTAAGTCTGAAATCAATCATCAAAAATTCGAGGGTAAATAAGCATTGATCTAATGTGGAATGTAAAGGGGCAATACGGTCAACTTATATTTATAAGCAATTACAAATTAAAAGATAAGGTTCAAAATCAAAAACTCAATCTGGCCTCAATATTTTGGTAGAATGGCAACTGGTATCTCCTGGTTTGGTAGAACGCCGCCATTTTTAAAGATCGGTAGTATCTCAACTGTTCCAAGGAGGCATTAACACAGAATCTTGGAATGTTGGATTATGCCTCTTCTTATCTCTATATGATAGTTTTTACATTAAATTAACATTGGCTTGTTTATTTATATATCGTCTATGTATATATATGTGATCAGGTTGTGTCTGTTCTTACTTCAAGTTGGAGAAAAAGTCCATTCAGCATTTTCAATTTTCATAATCACATTTAGCTTGAACTAGCTAACGTGACTTAATCGCATGTGCTATAAATTTGTCGTATCATTCTTCCTCGTCTTGTCAACATATGCGGTTTCTGCAGACTTCACACAGACTGACTATAGTCTCTGTCTTTCATTACCGGCTTTTTTATAATCTCAAGGTTGCGATATACCTTCATATCTAACGAACCTAACAAAACAAAATAAATTGAAGAAGTTAATTGTGCTACTGAGAGAAGATTTTTCTTTGTACCTGGAACATGGTAGAAATTTTGAAGTGACACGTATGTAGCACTATATTGGGGAGAGAGTATCGGATTACTGATGTAAGCTATTGGTAACTTTGAGTTATATCACACGGCTTCCCTTGTACTCTCACAAATTCTGCAACTTTTCCTTGCTGCTGTAAGAGCTAGCTCCTCCTCTTCTGCAGCAAAGAATGCCTCAGCATCTCATTCCTCTTCACTTCTGGAAGTAGCAGGGTTACTCTCTATGAACTTTTTCTTCTACTGACAAACTTTTCGCCTTGTGACCCTTCTTCTCACAATTATAGAACTTCCCTTCAAATTTTTTAGCTTTGCCATGATGCTATGAAACTCTCCCTGCAATAGCATTCCCTTCGCTTTGATGAAGTTTTGCCTTGCACTCATTTCTTTTAGATCCATTGAGACATGCTGCTTAGAATTACACCTGCTTTTGTTGGTGTAGAACTCTTCCTCTTCACTCTTTAGTAAAACTCCTACTATTTGCTTAGTCAAGGCTCTTTGACCAGCCAGTGAATTCTTGAACTCAACAATAAATGGTTGATTTTGCCGTCCCCATACTGCAGCGACAAAGTCCCTACATGTGTATATCAAATCATGGATAATTATTCTCTTATAGAAGTACCAAGCAACTGTCTTTTTACGTTGTGCTATCAATAGTAACTTGTTTCGGAGAAGTTGAAGACTTGTGTCATTCTTCTTTGAGACTAACTTGGTGAACATATCTCAAACTTCTTTTGGGGTTTTGGCATCCTGGAGCGAGGGATTGTGGTCTTCAAAACGAATATTGTTTTATACACTTTTTATTAAAAATATAAGTGCTATGCACACGATTTAATTATTCGTATAATATATTGAATAAATTATTATTTGATAATTTATTTTAGCATATGATAATAATATTTTATTATCATATATGATAAAGTTCTTAACTAAATTTGTTGGTTTTACATCAAGATGAGGATTTTGATAATGAGAGTAAAACCTTTTATAATTTAATTTAAAATATTCTTAGTCGTTGGATCATCAAAATAGGACATTAATGATCCGGTAAGACTAATATATATGTAATAGTCTCTATAAGATAAAGATGAATTGATCTCATCAATTAAATATCATATATAGATGATGTATATGAAGATATGATCATTAAACCGACCCAATTAAGAATTTCTAATAGTTAATATTACCTTAAACTGTTAATATAGTATCATCTTATTTTGATAAGATGTAAGAATTTCCTTAGATATGAGATCATCATGATAATTGATAAGTCATTTATTATACTTTGATTC